ACTTCATAAGACTTGATGCAGAGAACTGAGAAGATATAAATAGGCCAAACAACAACTTTCATGTTGAGTGTGAGCTTTTCTACTAATTTTAGGGCTTTGGGGGAAGGTTAGTGTTCTCAAGCTCTAAAATGTTTATAGCTGAGACTACTTGCACCCAGTGAGAGCTGACCTAAAAACTAGCATCAAATATTCTATAGCCATGAAGATGAACAGAAATTACCAGCCCCGATATTGTGCCGTTATTGGATATTCCATGCATAATCTTATGTCTCCACAACTTGTGATTTCTGCAGATTCCTCAGTATAAATGTGCATAATAGTCTTTGAAGAAGAACATTAGTCAGCTCTACTGTGGCTGGTAAATTAATTACTTGATTTACAAGACACGTCTTCCAAAAGTGCCATAAAAATTTATTGTGAATTGAGTGACTATAAGATGATAGAGACAACTGGATAAAGCAAACACACTTTAAGATGATTGATTAGATGAATATCCAATTGATACATTGTGTATCCTAATGGAAATTCTATGTCATAAAGTAATTCGTATTGCTTATTATGTAATGTGAGTTCCGATGCTGGGAACAGAATTGTCCACATTTATCAGTTTTGCTATGCTTCTATAAACTTTTTTAAGGGGAAAAACAGGGAGTAAGTTTTACTTTGGTTAAATCAATCAAATTGAAAAAGTTGAACTAAATCAACTTTTCTGTTACTGTTTTAGTCTTTTAATGGGATTTGGAGTTGAGTCCCTAGATTTTAAAGTCTTTTTTTTTTTAATGTGACATAGAAAAAATATTACCTTGAAAATAGAATTTGAGGGACACCTGAGTGGCTCAGTGGTTGAGTGCCTGCCTTTGGCTCAGGGTGTGATCCTGGATTCCCAGGTTCAAGTCCCACATCGGCTTCTTGCATCTGCCTGTGTCTCTGCTTCTCTCTCTTTCTCTCTCTCTCTCTCTCTCTCTCTCGCTGTGTGTGTGTCTCATGAATAAGTAAATAACATCTTAAAAAAATAGAATTTGATGATTTTTAGTTGACTTCTATAGGGTTATAGATGCACAGAAACTATAAGCATTAGTTTTTGCTCATCTTGTTCTCTTTAGGGTCAAAAGAACAGATGTTGATTCAGAGAGTTTAGTCACTTGATCTAAGCCACACGGTTACAGGTGGAGCCTCACATCTAACTTTAAGCCCACATTTCCCAATTTATTCTTCTGTGTCTTTCTCTGCTTCTCCCCTTTTTTAATTCACATATTTTTTCAATAAATATTTTTGATCTCTTAAAATGTATTTACTTATTTGAGAGAGAGGGAGTGAGAGAGCACATGGTGGGTAGGGGCAGAAGGAGAGAGAATTTCAAGCAGACTTCCTGCAGAGTGCAGAGACTATCTTGAGACTTGATCTCATGACCCTGAGATCACAACGTGAACCAAAACCAAGAGTTGGTAATTAACTGACAGCACTACCCAGGCGCCCCATGAGCTCTTGAACTGTTCTGGGCATTGGGTTTGACAGGAGTGGATGAACCAGAGAAAATTTCCTGCCCTCATGAGTTTATATACTAGCTTAATGCTATTCTTCCACATCACAAGCTTTTTATTTATGCATAGTACTAAAAAGAGAAATAATTTAAATTTAAAATTTTTGTTAGAAATATGGTAAGAATTTTAATTTCAGCAGTTAGGTAAAATAAAATACATAACAGACCTTTGAATGCTTCCATAATTAAAATGGTTTATATTAGCAAGGGGAAATTTTATATATCGAATACCTTTTATCTATTGATGATACATTTATCAATGAATATTTGTCTATTATTCCACAGATCTATGTACATATTTTAATTCAATTTTATTAAGAAGTGTAAGGAAATACATCTCTGAACAGAGCTTTCTATTTTTTGCTATTTTAAATAAAAATTAGGCAGATTCATTAGAGAAAAATTTGGAAAACAAAGTAGAAGGAAGAAAAAATAAGCACATTACTTGAAGCCAATTCTATAAATATTTAAATGCATTTTCTTTTAGTCTTGTATCCCTTTTGGTTTGTAACACAATTTATTATTAATTGATAAGTTAATAATGACATATGCTATATAGAATAATAAAATACAATATACTTTTGTTCTGTCATGATTGTTTTATTTTAAGAAAATAAGAAAAAGTACTTTTAATTGACAATTCCTTTAGTTTGGGAATTTCAGTTTCATTTTTATGTCCTTTATTGTAACTGTAACCAAAATTATATTATTCTTTGTATCTTTATTTGTTCATTTAATCTTATAAGGTAAACATTTTTACATGTTATTCCCAAAGCTAGTTTTAATTCTATGTAAATTGATGCTGATAAATAGATAGTTTATAATTGCTGGACATTTTATTTATTCATTTGTTTGTTTATTTTACCAACCTGGGGTCGTGATTGTTAACACTATAGGTAATATTATACATATTGATTCTAAATCTTGATTGATTCCCAAAAATGAAATTACTGAGTCAAAGGCATTGATTCTTATTGCAGTTACTATATGTAAAAATCAAATAGTTGAAGAGTACTAAGTACTTATAAATGAATCAGAGGCTGTATTATAAGTGATAGTTTGAAAAAATGTCACAGAAATCAATCAGAAAGAAAGGTAATCCTTTTTCTGTCTTTTCAAGGAAAAACCAGTATAGAAAGTGTAACAGTGACGATAGTGAAAAAGGAAGAAGAGGTACATCAAAGCAGCCTTTAAAAAAACCTTTTATTTTCATAGCACCAGGCACTGTGATAATATAACAGTCATTGATCTCTTCTGTTTCAAAAATAATATATGTAAATTGTAAGACAAAATAATACCCTTTCATTATCCCATAAGGCAGAGAGAACCTACCATTTTAGTGCATTTGCTTTGTGTGTCTGTGTGTGTTTCTTGTGTTTCTAGGGGGGATAGTGTACATAAAATAAGATCATACCATATGTATGATTTGATATTCTGCCTTTGTTGTTTCTCATAAATTAAGCATTTTTCCATCACTACTTTTCAATTTATGGTATTTGAGTTTATTCATTTATTCATTCAGTCACATTTGTCTTATTTCTACCTTTTTTTGGCCATTATAATTATCACTTAAATGATTTTTTTATAAGTACTCATCAGTTTTTTATTTACGCTTTTATTTTTAATTGAAATATAATTAACATACAGTGATACATTAGTTTCATTAGTTATATTAGTAGAATATAAGGATTCCACATTTCTATACATGTCTCAGTGCTCAGTCAATGAACATTTTTATCATTAAATCTGGTACTTTTGATAATGCAACTGGAATAAATACTTATAATTGGAATTACTTATTTAAAATTTAGAGAATGCCACTTACAGATTTCTGAAATTCATCTATGTAAGTGGAGATAGGGTTTATTTTTAAAATTTATATTAAAGTTTCCCTTAGGTCATGTATGATGCTGTCTAACCCCAGAGACCTAATTTGGGTCCCAGGTCTCTAACCGTCCTTGGACGAATTATGCATGGCTATTAGACAGTTGAGTTGTTGGTCAGTGTCACTAACTAAAAGAAAATTTTGGAGTGTCCAGAAACAAATAAGATTGCTTAGTATTAATTAAATACCCACTGTGGTTATTTTTTGCTGATCATATGATTACATGGTAGTGTTAAACACTTTCTCAATAATATGTATATTTTTCTCTTTCCATCTCAGAGTGCTTCCTGGTATTCTAAGGATTTCTAAACTGCCTTTGTGGGCAAGAATCTATAATGTCACTCAACCTCCATCTCTCTCTCTCTCTCTCTCTCTCTCTCTCTCTCTCATTTCTCTGGTTACATGTTACCTTTTCTCTCTCCTAGTCTGGCTGCCCTGAAGTGTTATGAGATCGGTTTCTTGTTATTTTTTTCTTGTCAGTTCTGACTTCAATTTCATGATGAGAGCAGATATTTACCCTCCTCTGTGATTAGAGTGTCAAAAGCCTAAGTCTTTGGCATAGTGCCTTTAGGAAGATCTTTTCTTGCCTGGATATATTCCCTCTTTTTTTCCACTACCAAACTTCCCTTTCTGGCAGAGGAACAAAGACCTCAATTGAGGACATTTCAGAAGCCAGGGGCTCTTATGGAACTGCCTCAGCAGAAAGTCTTTGTGGCACTTAACCTCTAGGTATTCCTTATCCCCCCACCTTGTTTGGATAACTAAGTACTCTTGATTTGGGGTGGTGAACTGTGGAATTCAGGTTGCTAGTGCATGGTGCTCCCAAGTGAAGAGTTGATTTCGTGTGATTTGCAGAATTTTAAAAAGATCCACATTTTACTAGAGTATAGTAGTACTGTTTTGTATTTTTTTTTATGGAAGTGTTGATAGCATAACAAGCCTGAGTCTCCATGTGTTCCCTAACTCAGCAACTTAAGCTTTGTAGTGGTGGATGGGGACCCCTGGCCTGGGCCCTGAGGTCCTGCCTAAAGTTTATTTCAACAGAAAGGGAAAGGCATCCTTGGGGAATAAGTCATGGCCACTATTAGTCTGCTTGGAACACAAGACTTAGTTGCTGAATAATGTATGTTTAATATATATGTCCAATCAGTTCCAGATTTATAAAGGCTGTAACAGTAGATCCTTAAATATCGCATTCTACTGTCATCTTTACAGAAGGAGCAGAAGAAAGAATGAAACTAAAAAGTCACCTTTGCTCCTTCTAGTCAGAATGGGAAAAGTTATGATGGCAGAAGATAATGAAACTATTTGTTAAAATGAGATTTTTGGCTCCTCTGTTGGTTTTCATTTATTCATACCACTCCAGATTTCCTTCAAGAACTGAATTCAGGGTGATGTTACTTTATGTATTATATGAAAGTATTGTGCATTGTTATATGTATTGGGATGGGGTTATGTACTCAGTTTCTACGTTATGCTAGTAGATCAATACCGTATATGAAGCTGAATAAAAAATAGTGATAAGGATAAGAACTATTGTAGATAGTTGAATATATATCTTATACTATTTTCCAGGGAAAGGTGATGTGTTTGGAGACATCTTCTGGAAGGAAACCACCCTTGCTCACGCATGTGCCAATGTCCGAGCACTGACATACTGTGACCTCCACATCATCAAGAGAGAAGCCTTGCTCAAAGTCCTAGACTTTTATACAGCTTTTGCAAACTCATTCTCAAGGAATCTCACTCTTACTTGCAATCTGAGGAAACGGGTATGTTGCGTGGTTCCATTTTCCTTTATTAGTATCGATAGGGTCAGTGTGTCATGCTCTATTAACTGAGGAGTGCAAGAGATATTTCATTTTGCACCCAATGTATCAGTGCATCGATTGCATTGATGTAAAGTGACATAATTTTCTTTCTCTTTCTTTATATTTTGTTTACTTTTTGAGGGGGTGGAGGATTCCTGGGTATGTGGTTAAAGACTTGAATCTTTCTGATTTAAGTGTAAAATGAAAAACAGAGCTGAGGAGAAACAAACAAACTATACTATAACCTAATTAGTTCCTGGGGTTTATAATAACTGCCATAAAAATAACATGAGTGTCTCTTACTTTATTCTGTGGGTTTTTTAAAAGTCGGTAAGGTTAACCAAACTGGTTTCTTATCTTATATTCCTGCCTCTATTTAAATACCTTTTCTCATTTAATGATCAGTTCATAAAGCATATTCCCTCTGAATCCTTTCAAAGCATACTATCTTAAAAAATAATTAGCCACACTGACATATCCTACAAATAGGTATAGCAATCCTTAATATTGCACTGCTGTGCAAATATAATATTCATGACTGTTTTCTTTCTTATTGATGAATGTGGCACAAATTTAATTTGCATAAAGAAATCTAACTATGATTTATAGGTCATTGGACATTGGCTAGGGCTCTTTTATTGCCAAGAATGAAATACACATTTGGACAACTGCACTTAAGGAATTTCATCTAAAATGATTGCCTGTCTATGGTGAAGTATTTTGAAATAACAAGCCTTCCCTCCCACTGCCCCCTTAAATAGAACCTTCCCTTTGGTTAACACAGAGGAGAAAAATCAAGCCAAAAGACAAATCAGCATCTCTACTGTAGCAACATAGAAATGAACATAAGCAAATCATTATAATTCCTTACTTGGGGTTCTAGGAGAGAATGACTGCAGGAGTCATATTTGTACTAGCTGTGTCACGATATTGGATCTATATTTGAATAGCATTTCCTGCTTCTATTTTTGTTAACAAATGGGTATTGAGCATCCACAACTGCAAGACTATATGTAGAGTTGTTCAAGCACAGAGTCCCTATGCTTAAGGAGCTGAAGCCAAGTGTGAATATTACATGAAACACAAGTAAGTGAAACACATTTTTTGTACAAGTAATTGAAAGTTAAGGTAGCGATGGACGTGGAAGATGTCAGCTAATATGAACTAAATGTGGAATTTATTTATTCATTAGGAAATGTGGAGTCTCTTTAGCAGAGATGTATCTCCATTGGTCTGTGCTCTACCTCTCCCAATGAGAAATTCCTCTTCTACAAAACAGCCCATTAGATATTTGAAACTCTTATATCTTATTAATCTTCTCCAATATAAATTTTGCCACCTTTGGAGTCTCCCCACATACCACAAGATTCCCGAGACCCTTATCCATCATCGTTACAGTCACCTGGACAGATCTTGTTTGTCACTGTCCTCCTCAAAGTATGTTGTTTACACAGTATCTCATCTGATGTTTATAATACTCCTGTGAAAAAAAGGACAACTATTTTCCCTTCAAAGCACATGAGGAGACTCAGGCCCAGAGGGATTAATATCAAATAACCAACTGATATATTTGCAGTGCAAGGTCTCAAAGAGGGATAATTAAGACAACTCACCAGTAGAAAATAAATTTTGGTTCTTTACAAAGCCCTCTTGCCTCATTTTTTTTCCCTTTTTCACATATCTGAGCATGTGCACACCACACACACACACACACACACACACAACACTGTTATGAATGCTGAGTGCATGTACCTCTAATAGGAAAAGAAGCTAAGCTAGAGGCAGAAAACTGTGTGTGTGTGTTAAAGATTTTTTATTTATTTATTTATTTAATGAGAGAAAGAGAGTGGGGGAGGGACAGAGGGAGGAGGAGAAATAATCTCCAGCAGAGTGCTGAGCATGGATAACAACTCGGGGCTTGATCCCACGACCCTGAGATCTCAATCTAAGCCGAAACCAAGAGTTGGACATTCAACTGATTGCACCAGCCAGGCAGCCTGTGTTTTGTTTGTTTGTTTGTCTTTTAAGATTTTTATTTATTTATGTATGGGAGACACAGAGAGAGAAGTAGAGACACAGACAGAGGGAGCAGCAGGCTCCTTGCGGGGATCCCGATGTGGGACTCAATCCTTGGACTCGGGATCATGCCCTGAGCTGAAGGCAGACACTCAACTGCTGAGCCACCCAGGTGTTCCACTCCTGTGTTTTTTTTTTTTTTTTTTTTTTTTTTTTTTTTAACCAGACCCGGGGATGGTGTACCTGCCTCTGCAGGTGCTGCTGCACAAGTTCTATCAGATGGCCTCTTCCCTTTATAAGCTGTTCCTTGTTACAACCTGTGTCACTTTTTAATTTTATTTTTATTTCTTACTTTTTAAAAGATTTTATTTATTTATTTGACAGAGAGAGACACACACATACACAAATAGGTGGAGCGGCAGGCAGAGGTAGAGAGAGAAGCAGGCTTCCCATGGAGCAGGGAGCCGAATACAGGGCTGGATCCCAGGACCCTGAGATCATGACCTGAGCTGAAAACAGACGCTTAACTGACTGAGCCACCAAGGCACCCTCATTTTTTTTTATTTTTTAATAACTCCAGCCCTTCTTCAATTGATGGATAGTCTCAATAACTTGGCAAAATGTGGGGAAGAGGTGTACTGTCAGGCAGTGTCACTTCTTTCTTAGAAAAAAAAAGTATTCTCATAAAAAAAAGAACACTGAGAAAATATCCTGCAATGACTCATAAAAATAACTACCATTTTGAGAGCCTATTTTGTAGCCATACACTTCAACACATTTTATACATAATAATTGATCTTAGGAAATTTCAGTACCCCCAGATGAGGCACCTTATTTCCATTTCACTGATGAGGAGGCTAAGGTTCTAAGAATGGGACAGGTAGCTGCCAAAGAAACTATGACTTAGGGTCTGGATTTCAATCCATCTCTATCTGATTCTAAAACCCAGATCTTTCAATGCTACCATGTTGCTTTGGCTTGTCAAAGTATTTAATCTTTCTCTTTCCATCACAATATTCCACAGACACATTCTCAACAATTTATAGTTTCTCGTGCGCTCAGTTACTTTCACTTTGTTCCCCGTGGAACAATTAATAAAAGGGTATTTTGTCCTTACGGCTGTTACCGCAAGTGTTCTTGCATTGAGAATTTTTTTGTGAATTGAGTATTTGTTGTGAATTGTATAATCAAAACTATGTCCTTAGTATGCTCTTGATATCTTATAGCTATCAGACCCACTAATTAAGGGCATGTGTCTAGTAAGTTGGGAGAGTGGCTTTGGAACCCAGATTTTCAGCCATCACAGATTACAGCTCTGGCCACATGAGCACATGCAGTGGCTGAGTGGAGAGCTTTGCATAGTGTGGGATTCTGGGTGATCGAAATAAGAAGGGATGTGACAGCGCTTTAGCGGCTTGCCCTCCACCCCTGTCTCCATTATGGAAGAATAAGAGATTTGTTATGCCAACATAGTTCCTACTAACCATCCTAAGTTCCTCTCTATAAAAATTCTAGAACTAGAACCATAATTTCATCCAATAACTAGAGCAGCAGTTGATAAACTTTCTCTCTCAAGGACCAGTCAGTAGATATTTTAGGATTTGGGGGCCACAGAATCTCTGTCTCAACTACTCAAGCTCGCCATTGTGTGAAAGCAGCTATCTGAGCTCAGGATGCCATCACAAAATACAGTAGACTTAAGCAACAAGAATTTATTCCCCACAGTCCTGGAGGTTGAGAAGTTCAAGATCAAGGTGGTAGGCCCAATTGGGTACCCCAGTGAGAGCTTTTTTCTTCCTGGCTTACAGACCTCTGCTTTCTCACTGTCTTCTCATGACTGTGAGTGAAGGAGAGAGAAAGGGAAAGAGGAACAGAGGGTGGGAGAGAGAGAGTGAGAGAGAAGGAAAGCTATCTCTCTAGTGCCTCTTGTTATTAGGGCAGTAATCTCATCATGAGGACCCCACCCTCATGGCCTCATCTAAACGTGATTATGAGTCTCCCCTCATCACATTGGGAGACTAGGGTTTCAAGATATGAATCTGGGGAGATACAGTTCAACTCATCACAGCAGCCAGAGACAGTATGTAAATAAGTGAGCATAGTTGTGCTTTAGTAAAACTTTATACAAACAGGTGACTCCCAAAGGCCTTAGTGTGTCAGTTGCTGAAAGGAGAAGACTGGAAGTTAGCTAGGGAGGACAATGAGTATGCAAACAGAATTCTCTCCTCTTGTATCAGAAAGCATATCTACTACTTGCCACTCAGAGGTTATCATGAAATGGAAAATACCATAGAGCAGAGGTGGCTGCTGAAGCCAGATCAGTAACATTCACTAGTGAGGCCAAGCTCATGTGGTTGAAGACTAGAGTTCACACCATATGTAAAAGGGGCAGCTACTCAGTCTGGTTGCACATTGCCTTGGTGGAATGCCAGCCCAGTGTTGCTTGGTCTGCATATTTTTTTTCCCCAGAGAAGTCAGAGGTATGAATTTTTACACCAAATCATGTCAGTTTGGTAACTAATTTGCTTTGTTGTTTTTTAAAATAATATGGTCAAACAAAGCAAGTCTGTTTGCTCTTGGTCCAAATGTTTGTGAAATAAATGGAATGAATTTGTGAACTCTTAATCTCATGATAGTTGGTAACAAACTACAGTATTATTAGAAGTACCAAAGAAATCATAGATATTTTTATATTATATTGTATTTGTTGAAGTGTTTAGGCTCATCACTACTTAATAATTATGGTAGTTATTATAGACCCGCTCCTAAGATGAGGTTATTGTGTTAATAAGAAAAGTACAAAGATTATAATTTTATGAATTATTATTTTTTATTAAAGATTTTTAAAAATTTATTTGAGAGAGAGATCACAAGCAGTGACAGACTCCCTGCTGAACAGGGAGCCCCTCATGGGGGTCGTGCGACTTGATCCCAGGATCATGACC